CTTCCTCAGCTGACGCGCCCAACAAGTTTGAAGTCCAGCGAGCCTCTGGCCGGCAGCAGAGCCTCACTCTCGACGGATGAGGCCAGTCCGGGGGATTGGGAGGGGAACGTCCCTGGCAAAGGGAACGGTCCCTGCCGAAATGTCTGAAACAAACAGGGGAGCCGTCCATCATGTTCAATCAATGACCTAGATGAGTGAATGCCTGAAACAGCTGGTTCTTGGCCAACATGTCAAGGAATCTAGGACATGCGTGTGCTATCCCTGTCTTTTTTTTTAAAGGGGTTCCCACAAAAGGACACCCAACTCTGCCATGGTCATGTCACAGTTCAATATTGGAATTTTGACAACAGCTTTCTGAATTCGTCCAGCGGTCCATGACCATTCCTACCAACCCCAATATATATATATATATATATATATATATGGGCGTGTCTCAAAATAGGGGACCTGCAGAGGTTTTTGCTGTTGGTATCCTTTTAAGACACCCTAAAAAAGGGTAGCGTCACAAGAAGACACACCCATATCTGAGGATCGCGATCCGACAAACCCATAGGCCAACAAGCCCTCTCGGAAACCTCATAGCACGGATGGCTTCCCTTTAAACCAGCCCAAAAGACACACAGAACCAACGAAAACCCACGCCTGGAGCTGCCACTGCGCCAGCACCTGCGCGTCGACATCGCTTCGTCTTGAGATGGGCCCAGGAGGTGTTGTGGGCGTGGCTTGTTCTTTTGACGGTTCCTGGCCCTTGACCCCCAACCTATAAGAAGTCTCTGGGTCGTCTTTTTTGGGACAAATCGGTTGGCCCGAAGCCAGGGCCCCGCGGCGAATCAGTAGACATAGGGAAGACCAACCAACCCCCCGACTCAAGTTTTGAGAGACTTTGGGCCCAATCACACCAATTTTGTGTCTCAGAGGGCCCCTGCTCTGAATGAGAGAGAGGATTCGTCCGGGAGAAGTTCGAGGGGTATCGGTTTCGGTCCCCAAATCCTCGCGCCATCCCCTTTTCGCCGCTTTTTCTCGCAGCTTTACTCGTCCGCATGTGCGGAGGATCCGCATGGCGGCAAATCAATCGAAAAGTCGCTAGAAAGTGCCACTCTCAGGGCCAAAAGTGGAACAAGGCCTCCACGATGCCTGCCGCAACCTGCAACAAATGGGCGTGGGGATTGAAGCCACGGGTCCCAAGAGGGCAATCCCATGTTTGAAGGATCCAACATGAACCGTTTCTTCCACTTCCCCGCAAAGGCGACCTGGAGTCATCGCAACCAGACTTGTTTATTGCCCGACCCAACGGGCGGACCCGTTTCTGGTTGGGGCCGTCCTCTACGCTTCGTTTAACTGGCTTTGATTGCGGCGCCGAAGGCAAAACTCCATCGAATCTGCTATGGTCATGGCCATGGCTTCAATCCAAATCGTCATGGTGGTCTACATTCCATGGAGGTCGGTGACAAGCCCGCGTCCACACATCCGTCACACCCGACTGCTCGCCAACGTGAAAAGAGGGAAGCACACGCCCACCACATAAACATCGCAGCTTATGCGATTGCAAGAGCAGGCTCTGGTCCCAGCATCTCGTTGCCAAACCAGACAAGATATATTTCAACGGAATCGTGGTCTCAAATCAACCCAGCTGAGCACTCATTACTAGACCCCATCCCGAAAGGGGCCCTACCTGGAGTCTCCATGACTCTTAAGCAATGGAGATCATTAGCCAGCAGAAAGGGTATGCGGCCCCATTGTTTTTTGGGTCAGCAGAGACTCCAGGTGGGTCTAAGGCCTAAACTTGCTGGTGCGATAGGCAGGGAATGAGCGAATGACCCCTATAAACCATCCTTTGTCATTTCCTTCAAGGGGACCAAAGCCTGGCTTCATTCCAAACACCGGAAGGTCATTCCCTGATCACCAGCAAGTACATGGTGGTCTCTTAGGGCTAGCAGGAGACTCAGGCAGATCCCACGCCCTCGCTGCGTGTGCCTCCTTGCTGGCAAAGAGCATGGTGCAGCCGTGCCGAGTTTTGAACCTTAGGGACCCAAATAGGCGCAACACGCGTCTCGAGAACACCAAAACGAGCTCCAGTGTTCGAAGTAAAGTGTCTGGAGGATCGCCACTTACGTTTATTCCCCCAACAGTGGCTTTAGTGGCTGTAGTGTCTGGAGAAAAAGGCAGCACTTGGGCGATTATTGGCATCCCCTAGGAGGGACATTAAACAACACGCAACACATGTGCTGTGTACTTCCCAGTCTGCGTGTCACAAGGAAACTGGTGAATCTTTCAGGGGTCGCTGGAATTTCCCTTCACAAGGCGATCAATTGGCGGGTCCTAGTGAAACTGCACTTTTGGAGGTCCAAAGAGGGGAATCGCCATGTTGAAAGGATATCTCTTTTCAAACAAGTCTCCTTAAGTTGGGAGAATTAACCAGTCCGTTTTGCCAGCAACACTGAACTGATTAAGTGAACACTGGTTGCAACGTAATTACTTATCGCGTTCAAAACTCGACAAAATTGCAGAGTCTCGGTTCCAAACCAGGGCAAAACGGCGTCCCCAAAGTTTGGGAAACGCATCCCTTCTTGCAGCGAAACCAAACAGGCCCGACAAAGTCCAAACCAGGCCCGAAGGGGGATTCCTGCAAGCATGTTCCTGTGACGACCAAGATCTAAACCAAACAAATCCCCGAACGCACGTTGAACAACTCCTCAGCAGAAATGGAACCAGCGGGAAGACGCCGGGGGAACGAACCAACGAAAAGAAGTCACGCCTCACCCGAGAAGGTGACCTTGGAACCTGACGTTACCGATTAAACCAAATTTGGATCCCTTCAGGTCGATTCAGCACCCGCCGAAAAGCACATGGCCGAGGCGCGTCTTGCCCTTCACCAGCTCCCCCTCCGAATGGCCGCTCATGGCCTCGACCAGCTCCGGCAACGAGTTGGCCACCATCACCTCAGGGACCCGCAACGAGTTGGCCAGCAAAGTCTCCTTGTTACCCGCGCCCGGACCTGAAAACAGTGAATATTCCCAGACCTGAAAACAAGGACATGTAGTTTTTTGTTTGCCCAGAGTGAAGGTGTATGAAATGGTATGTGGGCGTGTTGGATCACAATGGCGTGGCTTTTATATCCATCTGAGCTTCGCGTCCGAAGTTTGGGACATGGCCCTTGGGCCCTGGGGCCCTTGGGCCCCGGCCCCATAGCCGCCGTCACATCTGAACATCAGCTCATCGTTGCCACCTCCGGAGGATGGCTGACCGTGGCTCCAAAAGTCCACCGAGGTTTTCTGGGGCTCAGTCTTGCTGTTTTCTTCCAAGGCTTCCATGAGACCTTCTCCCCGGACCCATGAAAAAACGGAGCACGCTTGGGGAAACCGCCTCGAAAAGGTCACCACTGAGGTCTGGGCATGTCCTTTTGGAAAAATAATAGTTCTATTTTTAACCACACTAACCTAAAAAGGTCACCACTGGAGCTCTGGGGATATGCCGAACCTCTTCCTTCGTCAAGCGCCAGAATCTCAGCACCAGGCTGTCCCCACAGGCCAGCGTCTGTGACGGTTCTGGGCGGGCAAACCGCAAGCATGCTCATCCATTGAGGTCCCCTGGAAAACATAAAACACTTTTTTCCAGTAGTGATAGATTCCAATAAAAAAATCAGAGGGAACATCACAACTTATATTATACTTAGGTCCCCTGGAATTCATAACACTTTTTTCCAGTAGTGATAGAGGGAAAACCACATATCATTAAGCAAGTGGAAGCCATCTTCGGGGGTTAAGTCCCAAAGAGCTTCTCACCCCGAATCGAATGCTTGGCTTCCCTTGGCTTCCGAAGGCACCGGTGGGCGCAAGACACCACAGACGTCTCGAAATCCGCCGGTCACCCCCAGGGCTTGGGAAGGAAGGGTGGCGGGGAACGCGCATGACGGCATATTTTATTTATACGTGAGGAAACGCGATACAAGTACCAACGTGTGAGTTGTTTCACAACATAGAATGAGATGTACTCATACTTATACATGTACATGCATTGTGCGTTATGTATGGGAAAACAAAAACACATGCATTATCCGGATCGAATTGAGAATCTGCACATTGCGCAGCTGCAGAGGAACTAGAAGGTTGCAGAACCCGACGGAACCCCACGCCAACCTGAAGTCTAGTAACCCCCGACAACCCCAATGCCCCAAACAAACTTTGCACGCCCTGTGCAAGGAACCCACTTCAAACTGTTGGGAGGGGACTCGTTCAGGAATGGAGGTTCCAGAGCCAACCCGGAACTCAACCACCAAAGCTCATTCTATTGAGGGCCCCCGCCAAAGCCCAGTGTGCGCATGGCGAACTGGAGAGCTTTGCCCTTGCCCGCCTTGCGCAATGCCGTCTGAACCCAACACAGCAAGGGATGGTTTCCCTTCAGCGCTTCTTAAACCCATCCCTGCGGGTACCCTCGGAAAAGGAACCCCAAAGGGACCGCACCAAGGAAGCCTGCGAACAAGCTTCCCCGGATCAAATTAAAACCAAGGGGCTTGCCTTGGGACCCGGGATACGGCAAACCCGCACCGGGGGGGCGGGGGGTCAAGACCTCTTGTCAAGGACCCCACTCAGTCTGCTGAAGTAGTTGCCGTCAAATCAACGCAACACCCGCGTCCAAGCATGTGCAATGAACCGGAAAGTTCACCTCAGCGTGACTCACACCAATTCGGCTGTACCCATCCTCTGCCCGCGCTGGTCCCAGTGTGAGCAAAATACGCAACACGGACAACTCCATTCTGGGGGCTTTAAGGCCAACCTCCAATAGTGTCCCTTTGGTTTCCCCTGTTTGGTTGGTTCCGAACCCCCAAAGGAAACTGACCCTGTAGGACAGCTATACCCTGTAGGACAGCTATTTCTTGGAGACACTCCATCAAATGAATCCCGGTGTCCTGATTAGAACCAACCTGCATCCAGTCAAAGAACCCACTTTTTCGCCCAACCCAAAAAAACCATTCACCCAGTGAACCCAATTGTTCACCTAAAAAACCACCTATGCTCATACCAGGCGCATGGCCCCTGGACACTCGGCGCCGCAAAAAAAAATCCTCGCGCCTCCGCGCCGCACACGTCCACGAGCTTCCATTCCCCGTGGCCGGAGGAGATCACCTGCGAAGCGCCAGGTTTGGGTTGGGCAGTTTTTCAGGGCGCCCCCTTTGTCGTTGGCTTTGAAGGAACGCTAAAAGGGAACACCGAAGCCATGTCGGGGGCCGAAATCCACAAAGAACAGCTTGGTTGTTTGCTTTCTTTGTTTTTTTTTGGGGGGGGGGGTGGGCGAAGTGGTTTTCCTTGAGGGTGGTTTCCACCTGAAAACAGCACACACATATATTCAAATGTTTGACACCTTTCATAATGTGTGCCCGCTGGGGGGGGGGGGGGGAGAGGGAAATGTATGTAATACATTTTCCATGTTTGCCACCCCACAAGGTCTCTCCAATTGGAACAAAGGCCTCTATTGTAGCATCTTTTTCGCACTTCAGGATCCTGTGACTGGTTGGGGTCCTCGACTGTCGCAATGTTGTTTGCCGGAAAAACTACCGGGAAAAAGTCCGGGCAAGAACGACTGGCAAAACAGAAGGTCGGACAAAAAAAGGCAAACAAATCCGGGCAAACATGAGGAAGTCCTTTAACAAGTGGGGGCCCGTTCTCTCTTTCTCTCATTTTCTCTTTCTCTCTCTCTCCCTTTCTCTTTCTTTCCCTTTCTCTCTCTTTGGCTCTCTCCTTCTCTCTTTCTTTCTCTCACTTTTATCTCACTTTCTCTCTCTCTCTCTCTCTTTCTCTCACTTTCCGTTCTCTCTCTTAAGTCTCACTTTCTCTCAGTTGCTCTCACTGTCCTCTCTTCTCTCTCTTCTCTTCTCTCTCTCTCTCTCGTCTGTCTCTTCTGTCTCTTCTGTCTCTTCTATCTCTTCTCTCTCTTTCTCTCTCTTCGCTCTCTTCTCTATCTTCTCTATCTTCTCTCTCTTCTGTCTCTTCTCTTCTCTTCTCTTCTCCTCTCCTCTCTTCTCTTCTCTTTTCCCTTCTCTTTTCTCTTCTCTTCTCTTCTCTCTCTCTTTTTTCTCTCTCTCTCTCTCTCTCTTTCTGTTTTGTCTCTCTCTCTCTCTCTCTTCACTTGTTTGCTAAAGTGCTTGTTCTTAGGACCCCTGACGCGACGCAACAATGGCATTATCTTTACAAGTTTGGCTGCGACAAAAAAGCAGCCACAAACAAGAAGCAAATTCAAAATTATAATTCCACTCGACAAAAAACAGCCGCCCGACCAAGCAGGCCAGTGACTGCAAAACCAACTGCACCAAACAAGCGGCAGCCACACACACACACAAAAAGCAATCTACCTGGAGCACCCTTCGTTACGTAAATTTCTGCCCTTAGCCCAAACGTATTGCAAAACCAGGGGTCGTCACCAAAATATGGTAAACGTACACTTTTTCCTGCTTCGAGCGTTTTTCCCAAAACCGGGCTGGTCGGTCCTCCAATATGATCGGTCGCTGAATATTCAAAAGGAGCGAGCAGAAATCAAAGTGCAAAACGAGCGCACATATCCGCAAAACGAGCGCAAATATCCGCAAACGAGTGCATTAAAAAAAAAAAACGTAACAATCCTGCCTTCCTCTGGATGACAGAAGGGGATGTGGTCGAGCGTTTTTTTCGGGGGGCGAGCGTTTTTTGGGGGGTCGAGCAGAAATCGGTAATTCGAGCGTTGTTTTCTCGTACCTAAAAAAGGCACGTTGGGTGCCTCAGGTAGAAGACTTAAAAAGTCCCACTTCATGAAAAGCCGCCGCCCGAGAGCTCAACAAATCGGCACCCACACACAACCCACAAATTGGAAGCCCTAATTACTTTACGAAAAGCAGCAGCCCGACCAAGCAGGCCAGTGACAGGCCGAACAAAGACAGGCTGATACATGCTGCACAAAAAATACAGCAGCCACACACAACAAGAAATGAGGTCGATAAAATATGATGAGAGAAAAGCTCACCGGGCCAAACAGATATGTGACGCACAGGGGGAACTCTAAGTCTATGTGCGGACAACGGACAGCAAAAGAAAAAAACTGGACAAATGCGGGATGCTCTCAAGCTCGTTAACTCGTTAACGCAAGTCAGTCATAGGGAGTCCAGGTTGCTTCGTTCCCAGGGAAACGAGCAACCCATGGAGAGTGTGCGCTTGGTTTCTGGCTGCGTGTGAGCTGAAAAGCTCTGACTGCCAAGCTTCCTTTGAGAGGGACAAAACCCAAAACCCCCCGGTAAGAGTATGATGCTGGCCCTTGGAGACGCAACAAATCGATTCTGTCCGGCTTCGAAGCTCGCCAAATCCGCGGCCAACATTTTATCCCAGAGAACCAACTCCGGGCCCTCCAATGGCTCCCAGAAAGGGCGCCGTGAAGGCTCACGTCGTGTCTTCCGACGCCGCAAGCACAACAGGGACGAATGGAGCTGTGGCTCAACAAAAACGGTACCCAAATGGGTTGCCCTGGAAAGTGGAAAGAAACATGGAGAACCTGCGGTTTGCCCCTCCGATCGCTTAATTTTGAGCCACACCCAAATGGCAGTGGTGTAAATGTTCAACTTCCGTTGCATAGTGGCGAACCGAAGCCAAAGGAGAAGGGGTGGAACATGGGAGCGACTGAGCGACTTGGTGCGTCTTTGTTTCGAGGGTTCGCCCTTTGATTTTGAGAAATCAAGAGGAAACCAACCATGTGGGGGATCTCATTTACCACCAACCAAAAAGCTCAAAAGCTAAGGAACCGGATGGCTGGGAGCCACCCAGTTGTCCCACTCTCAAGAACAAATCCGGCATCTGCGGCTACCCGCCTGGTAGCTGGCGCCCAAGCCCTCTTGCAACAACTTCTTCTGCTGCTCAAAGTCCTCATCCTTCGGAAGCGGTCGATGTTTTCGGGAGGGGGGGGGGGTTCTTCAGCCATTTCCGGGTCGGTCGTTTCTGCAAAAAAAAAGTTTGGGAAGTGAACCCAAAGGGTGGTAATCAGTTGAAGGGGCACCAGGCACCAATCCTTGGCATGTTGGTTGCCCTTTTTTTTACAACCAAAGGGGGGTACCCCTAAAGGAAAACTTCGATTCGACACCCCAGCAACAGGGCTGAACTGTGTGTTTGCTTTCTGTTGGTTTCCTTTGAACCACATATGAATGCAGGGTCCCTATGTTATTGATATTTGCAGTTTGTGGGCAGTGCGGGGCGTGCCCCCTTGCTCCACCCACCATTTGCGAGTATCACCCATGTCATGGATGTCAAAAAAAGCGGCTCAATGATGGCTCAATGCTAGTCGGGTGGTCACCAGAAAGTCATAGTCCCAAACTGACCAGGACCTGATGAGAAAGATGATGTCTTTAGCTGCAAACATGTGGATGAGATTTGTGGGAATGCTCGTGCTGGGCTTCCCCAAGTAAACATCAGTTCTTGCGATTCACTCATTTTGCACACCCGACCCAGAAAAAAAAGACAAATCAAGGCATTGTGGGAAGCTCAGCCCCTGAAAGAAGAAGAAGAAGAAGCTTAGAGAACTCTCGCTAGCTTTTTAGGTGATAACCCCGCAAGCAACATGTCTGTGTCCAGCGGATTTTTCTTGTTGCCTGATTTGGCAGGGGAGTCCTGAAATTTGCGGACAATCATGATTGGTTTTCGTACCTTTCAACGGCATCCAAAACGTGGCACCCGACTGCGGAGCTTGTCCTCATGTCAACTAAACGACCCCAAGACTGACTCCCCTTCGGTTTCTCATGTCAAAACTCAAAAGGCTGCCCTCCCCAAAAACGAATACTCCATCCCCCCACAGTTTCAGGCGCCGGCCATCTGATAAGCCGTAGGGATGCGGTAGGGATCCGCCTCGCGGATTGATCTCTAGCCAAAGCCCCTTGGCTCCCTTGTCTTGCCATCTTGCCTCTCTTCCTCTCTTTGGTGTAGGGTTTCTGCTAATTGTCTTGGCGCCAAGACACAGTGTTAACGTTGGCGTGGCTTGTGAGAAAAGGGACTCAGTGCCCTTGGGTTAAATGGTAGACAAATACAGAAACATCAGCAGTTTGCATCCAGGTGGGGCAAACCCCCATACAATAGTTTCCTTCTACGAGTACCACAAAGGGAACATGTGGGCGATGCCTTTCTTCCGACAGTCCCCGCTTCCGTGCAATACCAAGGGATTGTGAATCAGGACAGCACATTTGGCATGTGACGGGTCACACTGATACTCAAGCCACAGTATATAGGGCACTCGCCCACGAATAATAGTACACCTTACGAACAAATAAAATCATTTTAAGAGAAACAGATTCCTCGGACCTGTTCTACCACACCGTCCATTGTCCTCAACATTACCTGAACGGTGTCTCAACGCGAACCTCCGAACAGTCTGTTTGACAACTCTTCACAATAATCGCAAGACCAGCTTGTCCAATATTGATGAGAAGCGAAGCAGTGGCTGCAAACCTGCCTCCAGAAAAAAACAAAAACTGGGAAGTCATCAGAACGCAAGGCATCGACTCCCACTTGATCAGGCGGGCGGCCCTGCACCCTTTCACCTAAGGTTGTCATTTCAACACAGGTGTTTTTTACAAGGGCCCGCGCCGAACAGCAAGCCCCAATGGCTGCAATGGGCAAAATGAATTCCAGCCCACCCCCCCCCCCCTTGCCCAGTTGTTCCTGTGCAGCATCCCACGACTAAGTGTCCTTAAAAAGCCTTCCTCAGCTGCCCCTCATGGACCCAGAAACAAAGGTGATCACCCTTGGCCGCGAAAATGGGTACCGAATCAGGAATCCCAAAAGCCGAACAGGTCGATTCGCTTTGGGAAACTGAGAGCGTGCTGTTTGCCCTTGGCATGGCCTCCGGTGTGCCGCGGACCTCAAACTTGGGGAACTTGGTCGTCAGTGTCTCCTGCGCGCATCGCCACAGCGATCGAGGGTGAGTACCTCTGAATGGCGTTTTGCATGGGAAACCGCCCAAAGTTATCAAACATTTGTTCACTCTTAAACACATCTCTACGAACACGGATGTTTCCATCTTCATTTTTTAGAGAGGGTGCCCTGATTGCGGACGGGATATACATATATATATATATATACACACACCGTTCTCTCAGGCAAAACCGCCATCACAGGTTTGCCCTCCATGTTCATCTTCAGGGAAGTAGTCAACAAGGGCGCCTTATCCTGCTAGAGCTTGACTAGCCCACAGCAGCCCATTGCGATCAACAACAGTCTGCCAAACATCAAATACCACCAACTACTGCACCACAAAGCACAATGACAGGACCATCGCAGAATCATTCCACAACTGCTGGCAATCTTGGCTGGGTCCCGCTACAAGCAAACCCAGAGGCAAATCACGCCACGTGAAGCATAAGGACAGCTAGTAGCGCTTATTTGATTCAAATCTGAAGCCGTGAAGCATAAGGACAGCTAGTGGCTGATTTGACATACCCTCTTCAAATCAACACCGAAAGGTTTCCCAGGAACCACCACAAGCGGCTGTGTCAGTCTTCAAGCCTCGCCTCCAGCGTCTTGCGGCAGAAGCCGTTCAGAACCTTTTCCCTGGCCGGAGCTCCAAAGAGTTCCCATCCCAAGCACCCAAGGTGCCCCACGGTGCACTTCAGGAGTGCTTCTGTTCCGCATTCTGCGCGTGGCTACGGGTTGCTGCAGGGACAACAACGGTAAACCAACTCTTGGTGGGGATCCCGGCAATTGTGGGAGCTTCAAAGGTTCAAGGGGGTGGGTCTCCCGCTGGCTTCAATCTCCATCCGCTCTCGTGTCATATGTGTGGACGTCCGCAAACAAGCCAACAACAAGGGAAATCATACAAGCGTCGGAGCTAAGGCACATCAGTCGGGGAAGTCACACCACTCATGGCACAGCAAGAGGAAAATATGTCACGTCAGTTGGAAGGCGCACCACAAAAGTGAAACCCCCATGGAAAACACAACCAAACCATGCAACCCTTCAATTCTAGAATAAGAACTTAACAACGCAATAAATTCATAAGGAACAAAAAAAGAAAGGACGGAATTGAACAAAATAATCTAAATGAATAGGGAGAATAACATGAAACAATAACGGCATGGCACTTCCCATTGCGGGCTTTTGCGAGCATTGAAGCCCTTGCCGCATGTCAACCCAGTTCCAAAGAGACACCCCCCAAGTTGATATGGAAACCGCCTAGTCGGTGTACGTGTGCGATCTGCTTTGTGGTTAAATTCAGAACGGGCCCCCTCACTCGCAATCAAACAAATACACGTGGAGAGCCCTGTACCCAACAAGGAAACCCAGGCAAACCAACTGGACACGACTGACGCGCCTCCACTCGGGTGTCAGCTCTAGGCTCTCGCCGGCCTGAGGGCAACAACCACCAACCCAACCTGACCCACCGAGCAACCAACCAACCAACCAACCAACCAACCAACCAACCAACCAACCAACCAACCAACCAACCAACCAACCAACCAACCAACCAACCAACCAAAACAAGCAAAACAAGCAACCAAAACAAGCAAGCAAGCAAGCCAGCGAGCAAGCAAGCAAGCAAGCAAGCAAGCCAGCGAGCAAGCCAGCAAGCCAGCGAGCAAGCAAGCAAGCAAGCCAGCGAGCAAGCGAGCAAGCCAGTAAGCCAGCAAGCAAGCAACAGCAGCCATAACCAGAATCACAGTCAAGCACGTCTACAAGTTGTAGCAAAATGAGCAAAATGAGCCGGGCCTTGAACAGAGGTTCTGGAAGACAGTAAACATATACCGTGCCTTCTGCCTTCCTTTCTCTTCCAGGTCAACCAATATGGGTGATTTTTCTTCGCCCTGTTCAGGCACTGATATATCCAGCCTCCCACCAACCCATCAAGGGCAAGTTGTCTGGAATCGCGTAGACCTCCGTGCCCACGCCGCCTCAGCTGGTAACAAGGCCCGGGTTCGCGACAAGAGTCAAAGTGGTAAAGCTGGCACACGTTTGGAGACCTCCAAAACGAAAATGGGTGGGAAATCCACAAAAGAAAAAACACAAAACTCTAAGCGACAATTTTCTACCCAATGGGTTGGCCATTCTGAGGTTCGGAGCACTTGTGTTGTTGGCCTCGCTCGGGGCCTTCTACATATCTGAACCCTCCAAAAGTACTGAAATTTCCGTACATGCAGGAAAAAACACGTCGATGTACACTTTTGAGGAAATTTGACGGAAATCGCTTTTAGCAGGCTGTGAGCGTTTGTCGTGCACATGGATGCACATGAACACAGATTGCAATTTACATGGCCCGTCATACTTAATTCCGTTTCAGGTCATTCGTCTCCTATTGCTGTGGGGCAACGTGTGACAGCTTCCTTGCCGTTTTTGCGAGTTTGCAGTTTTCTCAGCCAAAATGCAGAAACCGGAAATGCACGGAAATCGGCGGGAAAAGTACGGAAATCTGCGGAACAAGTACGGAAATCAGCGGAACATTTGCTTGCAAAATTCGCACGTTTTGTCCGTGATGAATTGCACACCTTCAAATGGTTTCTCTTGGGCCATGAGCATGACAATCTCCAGGGCCAGGGCCGGAGTTGAACGTGAGATTATTGTAGAAAAAGTAGTTGAATGCTCCTGTGTCTTGCGTTGAGCCTGCAAGAAAAGTACAGTCTTAGCTCAAATGTATGGATTTCAAGGAAATGCACGGATTTTGGCAGACAGTCGCAACAAAAAGTGCCCTTGGTCCAGGTATATACCTGTAGGTCTCTAACAAACCTCTGGTGAAATTATCCATCCAAACTCCTTGGAGGTTTCCGAAAACTGACGGGGAAAAACAGGGGGGGGGGGAACTCGAAGGAAGACCGATATAACAGCCAATCGAAGGGCCTCAACGACGGGCACGGTTTTTTCATGGCGATGAACCACGGGGCTTTTGGGTTCGTGAATCTTCTAGGTCCTTCAGTTTTGGAGGTTAGAATAAGGGTACCAACTTTTTCTGCAGTATATTTTAGTAGGGGAACCCTCCCCAAAAAAGAAACGGTAAAAGGGCAAAGGACGGCTCTGTTCTTTGGGCATCGAGCCCCAAACAAAGGAACACACAAGTCATCCGTCGTCTCGAAGACTCTGACAAAAAAGATATCTCCAAAGCATCACCCAAACTCTCACTGATTGGTGCAAGTGCATAGGGGGTGCTTCTCAGAAACGGAGAACCCTCTTCTTAGATGGCTCAAGGAAACTCAAAGGAAACTAATCCGTTCCCCCTATTAATAAAGGTCTCCCTAATAATAAATATTTGTTTCGGAAGTCCTAAATCCGGGAATACTACTTTTAGAATAGCCAATACTAAACCAATTCTAAAGTAGGTATTTTCCTGCCCGTACTCAAATCCAGCCCCATTAGGGGGACCCCGGGGGCACGTTTCCTTTACTACGGCTGTACTACAAAGTTGCGACTTTCAAGCCAGAGCTCCGGGAGCACGTTTCCTTTACTACGGCTGTACTACAAAGTTGCGACTTTCGAGCCAGAGCTCCGGGAGCACGTTTCCTTTACTACGGCTGTACTACAAAGTTGCGACTTTCGAGCCTGAGCTCCGGGAGCACGTTTCCTTTACTACGGCTGTACTACAAAGTTGCGACTTTCAAGCCAGAGCTCCGGGAGCACGTTTCCTTTACTACGGTTGTACTACAAAGTTGCGACTTTCGAGCCAGAGCTCCGGGAGTATGTTTTCTTTGAGACCGGCAGGCTGTGCCAATTAACTAACTAGCTACAGAGGCTGGTGGTCAAGGTCAAAGGGTGCTTCAAACCAAAAGCTCCCCAAAAGCAAAGGGTACCTCCGCAAACCATTTTTATTATTAGGGTCTACGTTGTCTTTTATTATTGGGGTCTCCAGAACAAAAAGTACCTCCAAAACCTGCCCTCCAGAACCAGGGGACCCCTAATAATAAAAATTGTTTTGCAGGCCGGGTATTTTTTTTTTTAGGGGGGGGGGGGGGCGTCGTTTATTATTCGGGGGAAGGGATTAGTCAACCTCTTTTTTGGTTCCCTATTTTGGGGAGCACCTAGGCTTACGCCAATGTTTTGGCCAATCCCAACACTGCACAAAGGGGATCATCATGCTTGCAAGCAATACTCAAGCGAAAAGCAACAAACCAAAACATACTGCACTGCAATGAACACTAAAGGCCCGAGCAGTACGTGTTCCGACCCTTGTTTTAAGACTACACCACTACATGAATAAATCCCCTGCAATATCAAAATCGGATTGATGCAAAGCCGTACTATAATCAGGTGCCTGCCCTTGTAGTACAGTTGCTTAAGATCTGGATAAATCCAAAGTCCAATTATATGGGCTTGCCCTCCAAATCAAGGAAGCCATCGTTTCCTCAAAAAGAACCCCAACATGTGGGTGTGTCTTAAAAGAGGGGAACCCCTATACTATATACGTGGTTTTCCTTCATATGCTTCCCAAAAAAACACAACCCCAAAAAGGGTACCCAAAACAAAAGTGTGACAGCCATGTGTTTTGACTGAACCAACTCAAACTCAGGTAACCCTTAATTGGTGGTTTGGATTGGTGGTTTTTTTTGGGTTTTGAACCCCTGATCTCCAAACCACAGGCTCAAGGGGAAGCCAAATCACTGACCCTGCTTGTTGTGAGGGTAAAATTGCTCCAAACCACCAAATAGGGGGAAGCCAACAACCGATTGAGTACCCGCCAAATTCCGATCCACCCAATCTATCGCAGCGGATGTCAAGGGGCAAATCATCAGCTCTGGTCGCGGCAAGCCCCGCTCCTTTGCCACATCCAGGGCCTAGCGAAAAACTGAAAGCGGACAAAATCAATGAAGAGGCGCCCCTGGCAAGGTCATTTTAGGTGCCATCTTGCTAAAACACTGCAAAAAACAGGGTTCAGAAATCAAGGGTGCCCCAAGTTGGGGGTGGCTGAAAAGGAAAAAGGAAGCCGACCTTTTGGGGTGGTCCGCTATTTTGGGCATTTAATAGGGCACCCGAAACGGCGGACATCATGTTTCTGGCAAGCTAATCTTGTGTTTTTCCCTCCAAAATCGGCTGAGGATTAGCCTCCCGAGTCGACATGAACCCCTAAATATTTATTGCGCTGTTCCTTTCAAGTCCTGTTGGCCAAACACAAAACGGACCGGAGAAGACTGGAGAGAACCTTGTCCACAATGCCAGCCCTGGAAAGGTGGCTCTTAGCCAGGGTAAAAAAGGAAGATGTCTACCAAGGGCGCCGCCAAAAGACTGGTCAATCAAAGTAACATGCTCAAATCTACCCTCCACTTGGTGCTGTAAGGGGAACCGCCTCGACATGGTCACTTTAGGGGACCGAGCCACTGGATGTATGTGCCAAAATAAGAACTTGGACACCCAAACTTGAGGTTTTGTCTTCCTGGCTTCTTTGCTTCTACCTTTTCATGCCAACCTCCAAAACCAAACAATACATTTCCTCCTGGCTTATGTTGCTTTCCCCTTAAGCCAACTCCAAAAACCAAACAAAGCATTTCCTCCTGGCTTGTTGCTTTCCCCTTAAGCCAACTCCAAAAACCAACCAAGTCATTTCCTCCTGGCTTCTTTTGCTGTCCCCTTAACCCAACTCCAAAAACCAACCAAAGCATTTCCTCCTGGCTTCTTTTGCTTTTATCTTAAGCCAACCCCAAAAACCAACCAAAGCATTTCGCTTTCCCCTTAAGCCAACCCCAAAAACCAACCAAAGCATTTCCTCCTGGCTTCTTTTGATGTCCCCTTAACCCAACCTCAAAGACCAACCAAAGCATTTCCTCCTGGCTTCTTGTGCTTTCCCCTTAAGCCAACCCCAAAAACCAACCAAAGCATTTCCTCCTGGCTTCATTTGCTTTCCCCTTTAAGCCAACCCCAAAAACAAACCAACGCATTTCCTCCTGGCTTCTTTCGCTTTCCCCTTAAGCCAACCCCAAAAACCAACCAAAGCATTTCCTCCTGGCTTCTTTTGCTTTCCTCTTAAGCCAACCCCAAAAACTAACCAAATCATTTCCTCCTGGCTTCTTTTGCTGTCCCCTTAACCCAACTCCAAAAACCAACCAAAGCATTTCCTCCTGGCTTCTTTTGCTGTCCCCTTAACCCAAATCCAAAAACCAACTAAAGCATTTCCTCCTGGCTTCTTTTGCTTTCCCTTAAGCCAGCCTCAAAAACCAACCAAAGCATTTCCTCCTGGCTTCTTTTACTTTCCCCTTAAGCCAACTCCAAAAACCAACCAAAGCATTTCCTCCTGGCTTATGTTGCTTTCCCCTTAAGCCAACCCCAAAAACCAACCAAAGCATTTCCTCCTGGCTTCTTTTGCTTTCCCCTTAAGCCAACCTCAAAAATCAACCAAAGCATTTCCTCCTGGCTTCTTTTGCTTTCCCCTTAAGCCAACATCAAATACCAACCAAAGCATTTCCTCCTGGCCTTGTTTGCTTTCCCCTTAAGCCAACCCCAATAACCAACCAAAGCATTTCCTCCTGGCTTCATTTGCTTTCCCCTTTAAGCCAACCCCAAAAACAAACCAACGCATTTCCTCCTGGCTTCTTTCGCTTTCCCCTTAAGCCAACCTCCAAAACCAAACAATACATTTCCTCCTGGCTTCTTTTGCTTTCCTCTTAAGCCAACCCCAAAAACTAACCAAAGCATTTCCTCCTGGCTTCATTTGCTTTCCCCTTAAGCCAACCCCAAAAACCAACCAAAGCATTTCCTCCTGGCTTCTTTTGATGTCCCCTTAACCCAACCTCAAAGACCAACCAAAGCATTTCCTCCTGGCTTCTTGTGCTTTCCCCAAGCCAACCCCAATAACCAACCAAAGCATTTCCTCCTGGCTTCATTTGCTTTCCCCTTTAAGCCAACCCCAAAAACAAACCAACGCATTTCCTCCTGGCTTCTTTCGCTTTCCCCTTAAGCCAACCCCAAAAACCAACCAAAGCATTTCCTCCTGGCTTCTTTTGCTTTCCTCTTAAGCCAACCCCAAAAACTAACCAAATCATTTCCTCCTGGCTTCTTTTACTTTCCCCTTAAGCCAACTCCAAAAACCAACCAAAGCATTTCCTCCTGGCTTCTTTTACTTTCCCCTTAAGCCAACTCCAAAAACCAACCAAAGCATTTCCTCCTGGCTTCTTTTTCTTTCCCCTTAAGCCAACCTCAAAAACCACCAAAACACAAGTCGCAATCCTTCGCCAAATCCATCGCTCCATCGCTCTCCGAGGACGCCGCCATGCTTTTGTTCCGGCCCGTGGAGTAGGCCAGCGCCTGGACCGCGGGCTTGCCGTGGATCGTCGAAGTCATACTGTGGATGGACAAAATCCATTTCGCATCACTTTGAAACCATGGGAAACCATTTTTGTGGGTATTTACAGGGGAATCATCATTTGATGGTTTTTTAGGGCCGGATTTCGTCCAACCACGGTATGATGTATGTCTTGCCGCTATGGCCCCGAAAGGAAAATATAACTTCCATGTGTTTAAGCCCCCGGCAAACAACATATATATTTCCAGTAGTGATTGAATCCCTTTGAAAGCCAACATGGGACGATGTGTTGCGTTTCTTTCAGGCTCTCGGTACCCTTTTTGCGGTGGCTACAGATGGGAACAAAGGGAACAAAGGGAACCAAGAGGAAAAGGACTCTTTTTCCGGACACCAAAACAAAACTTGCCATTTTGTGGTGGGGAAACCAAAAGGGAAACCGCAGTTTTGGGTCTCGGTCCCCCTTTGACACAAGCCAGCGCCTTCTTTTGAAGGTAGCCTCCCACGTTTGGCGGTCCAAATGGGTGTGTCCACATAGGGCACGAAAATGGCTTCGGTCTTCTCATGCTTAGAGTCAGGCCCAGTTATAGAATGTATATTTTATTGTTTGCTTCACATGGAGTCACTGGTAAAATGTAGAATGTATCCTCAGTCTACCCCAGTTCTAAGGAACACCAAAACCCCCAACCAGGTCCTCCAGTAGAGAGGTTAGAATCAGGGTACCGTTTCTTTTTTTCTGTAGTCTCTTTTAGTAGGGGAACCCTCCCAACCAAAAAAGAAACGCACCTAGCTGGGGGACCTAGCTATGTAACGCGAAGCTCTCGCTCGCAGGAATCTGAGACGCGCGCCGAGCCGTTGGGCGCGTACTCCCCCAGCCAGGTGGCCTTGAACTCCTCATCGGAAAGAACAACAGCGGAAAATTGTTGGTTGCTGTAACGACCACCCTGCATGTTTGTTTATGTTATATACATACATATATATATATATCACTTTTTGGGGGTTTAGTCGGAAACCCAACTTGCTTTCAACCGAAAAGTTAAAGTCTAAAGATCCAAGCCAATAGCAGTCAAGAATCGACTGGTCCCTGTCCCAGGGGTTTCATATGGCTGTGGGTCAAAACTAGTTACCCAAAATTGCACCCTGGTCAATGGAAACATGGACTAAAACCTGTGGTTTTCTGGTGGTTTAATTTTGACCCATACCCATATAGATGGCAGGCGCTCAGCAGGGAATGAGGGAATGGCCCCTATAAACCATCCCTTGTGGTTTCCTTTAAGGAGACCCCTGGCGGCTTACTAATATAATGACAAAAAAGGTGCCACGGAACGACTGGGAGAAAGGCAGGGGTCCGTGTGGTTTCCCTTTGCACAATTACATATGTAGGATACGCCGTCATTTTACGCCCACATAGACATCTTGTGCTCGACTTATTTGGCTTTAATGTACCCCACAACCCATTCTCAGTATGAGGCAGTTCCTTTTGACAATACGAGACCTTCGTCCCAATAAACGATGACAAAGACAAATCAATCCGGCTGCGAGAACTAATCGCAAACATGCATCAGCTTGAGCCTGCTGCTGATCGGTAGTATCGGTCGAACTGCTTCCAGCTAATAGGTGCCACTACAAATGTTCAAAATGGCAGCTTGCTGCTTTAGCCTGTTGAGAAACAACGACTGTGCTACGATCCTGTGCTACACCACCACCAACAGAAGGGGAGGATGGCAAGCGCATCCACAGATATCGCAGCCTTCTCAATCAACACTTAGTTCATTGGGCTGTCCAATCTGATTCCCTGTTAAAACAATAACTTGTGGGTTAAATGGAACCCCCCAACTAAACCCTAAAAACATTAAAAACAACAAAAAACAAGGGGGCTGGGTGGTTCCCAAGGTACACCACATGTGCAAATCCATGGCTTGCTTCCCCCCCGAAACACCAAGGAGCCGGGCCTCCAGAATGTGGTTCTCGGGATCCCTCTCGTGGCCAATAAGCGTGTGATCCTCAGGTCATCTCAGAGGCGGTTGGACCGACACCACTCAGAGAGGTTGTTGTTTGGAATTTGTTACAAGCCAAAAGGAAAGCATGCTTAGTCTCATATGTTTCATCAGCCTTGGGCTATATTAGACCTCAACTAATCCCCACCCACCCACAACGTTGCTTTTTGTGGTGGCAAGTGTCCGAACGGCAAGATCGCCCGATTTGGCAACTCGGACCCTGGATCCAGAGTCCGATTCGAAGAGTCTGAGGTGGGCGCAAGGTCAGTCACCACCAGCACCTTCTTCTCCCGCACCCTGTCGCGGCTTGAGTCACCCTTGTCAATTTTCGCAGGGAGTTTCCCTTTGAAGCCAAGCACGACGCCTTAATGTCAATAAAAACAATCCGGCGGGCCAACTTCTTGGGTAAAAGTGACATCCTCAAGATGAACAAAAACACAAACGGTGTATCGGTGGTGTTTCACCGGGGTCCCAAACAAAACTGTTGCAAGAAAACCACTCGAAGTGCGGCTTTCCACTTGTGGGGACCGTCATGGGCCGCTCCCTCGAGGAAGAACACAATGCCGAGTTCCATGTTTTCGGACATGGAGCCGATCGAGTGCAAAAAGTGACTCACGTCCAGGAACTCATAGAGTGAGATTTAGGGAGGCTGATTTTCGAGCGGGCAGGCTCTGCTTCCGGACACAACAAAGGTCGTTGCCTCTGCAGAAATGCCCAACAAGGTTGAACATGATGAGCCCACTCTGACCGAACAACTTGCTTCAATGAATTGGGGTTCCCTCAATTGTTCCAACCTAAAAAAAGCATCACCACCGAGGAAACTCATCTATATGGGCCAACAAAAGATGTTTGAAACTACCCAACATCTTGGCAAAAAATGGAACCACTGCAAAACATCATGACAAAAGCTTGCCTCCCCAGAACCAGTTTCTGATTATGTTTCATATCTACTCTCAAATACAAATCTGTTGTGAAAGAGACGCCTCTGTGCGTCTGTTTGTTTTGTTAAGAAATCAGTAGCTTCTCTTTGGATTCTCCACGCCGCATACCGCGTTTCCCTGAAAAACACCTATCCATCTCGGCCCATGCGACTCCTTTTCCCGCGCCTTCGGAGGTGCCCGTTCCGCAAGGAGTAGCTGCCGGGCTCCTTAGACTGGAACCCAAGTGGAAACGGAAAATGTCCAGGGGAACCCCGCAAGGATCGAACAAAACCCACCCAACAAAAACGGGAAGGTGGAAACCACGAAAGCGAAGTAAGCCAGTGGAACCTGGATTCAACAAAGGGGGAGGGAAGTAAGGACTTTGGGGACATACGACTTGGATGTTAGAATCAACTGCGATGACAAACACCCCACCCCACCGGGAAAAGGAAAGCTATCCTCGAAAGAACAGACATACCCAATACGTTCACATGTGCATCTCATATATGTCCAAGTTCTATCATGTGTTTTCTAGTGGCGGGTCGTGATATCAGAAGGCAACTTGTTTTTTTCTCCCCTCAGGATGAAATCCGCCGACCCCTTTGCAAAAGCAAAGTTAGTCTCTGCAAAGGGGCGAGGCGTGTTCTAAGTGGTGGTTAGGGGGAGTCTGAGGGGGGGAGGGGGGGTCCCGCGCGGATTTTTGACACGCCTAACCTCTAACCCTAACCTCTAACCCTAACCTCTAACCCTAACCTCTAACCTCTAACCCTAACCTCTAACCCTAACCTCTAACCCTAACCTCTAACCCTAACCTCTAACCCTAACCTCTAAACCTAACCTCTAACTCTAACCTCTAACCCTAACCTCTAACCCTAACCTCTAACCCTAACCTCCAACCCTAACCTCTAACCCCAACCTCTAACCCTAACCTCTAACCCTAACCTCTAACCCTAACCTTTAACCCTAACCTCTAACCCTAACCTCTAACCCTAACCTCTAACCCTAACCTCTAACCCTAACCTCTAACTTTAACCTTTAACCGTGAGGATGGATGATGATGATGAAAGACTAGGAAGATGACGGAAGACTACGGGAAGATGACGGGAAGCTGACAGAAGACTACGGGAAGATGACGGAAGACTGCGGGAGACGACGGAAGACAAGGAGAAGATAACGGAAGACTAGAAGAGTGCGGGACTGCACGAAGATGACGGAAGACTACGGGAAGACGACGGAAGCTGACGGAAGACTACGGGAAGATGACGGAAGACTACGGGAAGATGACGGAAGACTACGGGAAGATGACGGGAAGATGACGGAAGACTACGGGAAGATGACCCTACTCTAACCCTAACCTCTAACCCTAACCTCTAACCCTAGCCTCTAACCCTAACCTCTAACCCTAACCTAACCCTAACCTCTAACCTTAACCTTAACCCTAACCTCTGACCTAACCTCTAACCCTAACCTCTAACCCTAACCTCTAACCCTAACCTCTAACTTTCACCTCTAAGCGTGAGGATGGATGATGATGATGAAAGACTAGGAAGATGACGGAAGACTACGAAAAAGATGACGGGAAGTTGACAGAAGACTACGGGAAGATGACGGAAGAGTACGGGAAGCTGACGGGAAGATGACGGAAGACTGCGGGAAGATGCCGGAAGACTACGGGAAGATGACGGAAGAGTACGGGAAGATGACGGGAAGCTGACGGAAGACTGCGGGAAGATGACGGAGGACTACGGGAAGATGACGGAAGACTACCGGAAGATGACGGAAGACTACGTGAAGATGACGGGAAGCTGACAGAAGACTGCGAGAAGATGACGGAAGACTACGGGACTGCGGGAAGATGACGGAAGACTGCGGGAAGATGACGGAAGACTACGGGAGATGATGGGAAGATGACGGAAGACTACGGGAAGATGACGGAAGACTGTGGGAAGACTACGGGAAGAGGACGGAAGACTATGGGAAGCTGACGGAAGACTACGGGAAGCTGATGGGAAGATGACGGAAGACTGCGGGAAGATGACGGAAGACTACGGGGAGATGACAGAAAATACACGAAGATGACGGAAGACTACGGGAAGATGACGATGATGATGATGATGCTGATGATTTTGATGATGATGCTGATGATGATGATGCTGATGCCGATGATGATGATGACGCTGATGATGATGACGATGATGATGATGATGGTGACGAGGATGATGATGATGATCATGATGCTGGATGATGAGGCTGAGGATGATGATGCTACTGAGGCTGAGGATGATGATGGATGATGATGACGACATGGTGGATGATGACGATGATGATGATGCATCGTCCTCATTCATCAGGTTGAGCAGCATCATCGTCATCCTCCTCATCATCATTATCATCAGCGGCGCCATCATCGGCCTCGTCATCCAGCATCATCATCAGCCTCATCATCCCCGCATGAAGCCAGACGTTGGAGAAAAATCCGGCCCTTGTTATCGCTGAGAGAAAGCCCGGCTCTTCTCCGTCCCAGACCAAAAAGCAGCTTCCGCATCCCCAGCATGCCAGGCATCACCCCAGACACCTGCAGGATGATGCCGGTGAAGCGGGGGATGCAAAAGCTGCCTATTTTTCCCGACATTCGAAGACCAAAAAGGCAGTTCCTGCATCCCCAGCAAGCAAAGCATCACCCCGGGCACCTGCAGGATGATGCTGGTGAAGCGGGGGATGCAAAAGCTGCCTTTTTTCCCAACATTCGAAGACCAAAAAGGCAGCTCCTGCATCCCCAGCATGCAAAGCATCACCCCGGGCACGTGCAGATGATGCTGGTGAAGCTGGGGATGCAAAAGCTGCCTTTTTCTACAACGATGGAAGACCACAAAGGCAGCCCCCGCATCCCCAGCATGCGAGACCTTGGCGCCAATCCTGCTGAGAGACGGAGAAGGGCCAGAGTTTCTCCAACGTGTGTGATGCTGTTACGGGGGTCGGCGGCATCAGGCGTCAGCCTGCTAAATACCTAATACCTAATCCGGCCACCGGACGTGATCGGGCCGCAGGCCAAAGCCCGTTAGGGCTTACCTTCAGGTATAAGGCCGCGCGCCCCATGCCGCCGACCATGCGCGGACCATGCGCATACGTTTTGTGCTGGGCCCTCCCTTATAAGGGGCGAAGGATTCGCGGATTGGTTTAGGCGATTTTTGTAGCATCTCCCCGCAGCGCCCAAAAACGAACATTTTTAGGGGGTGCCTAATACTGGACAACACCCCCAGCATTGCCAGCATCATCCCGGATGATGCGGATGATGTTATGCATGCCGGCGATGCGGGGGATGCTGGGGATGTTGTCCCCTAAGTCGGGCCAATTTTGCCGAAAACGTGCAACCTGAAAATCTTAAAATCTGAGGTGGATGGAAATGGATGGAAAATGGCCTGGATTGAAATCTCAAAATCCTAAAGTCTTAGATTCTTAAAATCTTAAACTAATATCTAACAATCAATCTTAGAATCTCAAGATCTTAAAATCTTAGAACTTAGAATCTTAAAATCTAAAAATATAAAACTTCCTAAAGTCTTCGAATCTTGAAATCTTAAAAACCTTATGTCTTAGAATCTTGAGATCTTAAACTCTTAAAATATGAAATCTTAGAACCTTAATTCTTAAACCATTGAAACCTTAAATTCCGAAAGTCTTCAAATCTGAGACCCTTAGAATCTCAAAGTTTTTAGAACTTTAAAATCTTAACATCTACTCATCGGACTTACAGGAAAGGGAAGTGACAGAAACCCTCATGTCTTTGAATCTTCAGATGTTAAAATCTTAAAATATGAAATTCCTAAATTCTCAAAGTCTGAAAATCTCAGAATCTTAAAAGCTTCAAAAACTTAAATTCTTTAAATCTCGAACTATTGCAGTCTGAAAATCTTAAATTCATAAACAAGTAAAATATAATAAAATTCCTTCAATACGGGCTATTTTCTTCTAAATTCCTTAAACTCTTAATCTTCAACTTTTGAAGTCTTGACATCTTAAGATCTTACAATCATAAATTCCGAAAGTCGCCAAATCTGAAAATCTCAGAAAAAATAGAATCTTAAAGCCTTCGAAATCTGATAATGGATGGTAAATGGCTGGGCAATGGCCTGGCTGTTATAACCTTCAAAAGCCTTAAATCTTCGAATCTTAAAACCTTAATTCTTCAACCATTGAAACCTTAAATTCCGAAAGTCTTCAAATCTGAGACCCTTAGAATCTCAAAGTTTTTAGAATTTTGAAATCTTAACATCTACTCATCGGACTTACAGGAAAGGGAAGTGACAGAAACCCTCATGTCTTTGAATCTTCAGATGTTAAAATCTTAAAATATGAAATTCCTAAATTCTCAAAGTCTGAAAATCTCAGAATCTTAAAAGCTTCATAAACTTAAATTCTTTAAATCTCGAACTATTGCAATCTGAAAATCTTAAATTCATAAACAAGTAAAATATAACAAAATTCCTTCAATCCGGGCAATATTCTAAATTCCTTAACCTCTTAATCTTCAAATTTTGAAGTCTTGACATCTTAAGATCTTAAAATCTTAAGTTCCGAAAGTCGCCAAATCTGAAAATCTCAAAAAAACATACAATCTTAAAGCCTTGGATGGAAAATGGCTGGGCAATGGCCTGGCTGTCATAACCTTCAAAAACCTTATATCTTTGAATCTTAAAACCTTAATTCTTCAACCATTGAAACCTTAAATTCCGAAAGTCTTCAAGTCTGAGACCCTTAGAATCTCAAAGTTTTTAGAATTTTAAGATCTTAACATCTACTCATCGGACTTACAGGAAAGGGAAGTGACAGAACTCTACTCATCGGACTTACAGGAAAGGGAAGTGACAGAACGGGCAGGGCAAGGTGCCCGGTGGCCGGCTGTGTCGCGTCAGCGTGTAAATACATGGACCCCCAAGTAAAACTCTACTTTCTTGGTCTTCGCTCGTTTTATCCTCGAACCGGTGAAATCGCTCGCCAAGGCGTCAGAACTGATTGCTTGGCACCAAAATGGTTTTCACAAAAAGAGTAGCTGTGTGTTGAATAGGGGACCTGAACAAAAACATCTCCATTCTTGGAAGCATCCTTTTGGTATCCTTGACAAAACAACATGGGTATGTGTCAAAATGGCAGACCCCCCAAACACAATTTGTTTGATGTCCTCCGAACCACCCCAATAAAGGGTACCTTCGGAAAGCGCGCGCGCACACACACACACATAAACTCGGTTGCGAAATCTGCTCCCCTGCTAAAAGTTTAACCTTTAAGTGGATTGATTCGGGAAAAAAAAAAACTAGTTGGCAAAAAGTTAACGTCCTAACATCCCTCGGCAAAATGCGCCAAAGTAAAAACGAGAGGCCGTGATCAAGTAGTTCGCCTTGCCGTACCAGTCCGGCGGATGGTCCCAGGACGCCTTCGCGGTGTCGCAGACCACGAACTCAACGCCATCGGCCTGGAGCTCCCAGGGAGCTCCGATGGCAACGACAGCGAGACTTGGGTGCTGTAACGACCCCGCGGCAAAAAGTGCTTTTTGTTTAACCTTTTTAGGGGGGTCCGGCATTTTTTGTCTTTTTAGGGGGGTTAGTGGAAAACCCAACTTGATTTCAACCAACAAGTTAAAGTCTAAAGATCCAACCCAATAGCAGTCAAGGACCAGCGAGCCAGCGAGATGCTCCCCCTTTTTGCAGCCACGGCCAGGACAACATGCTTGAACCACTCAGTTTGGGAAGCCACCATAGAGGGGAGGGACACACGCACAGCGAGGACCACAAAATATTATGCATGTCACCAGATCTTTTTTGCGGGGGGGACCTGAAGAAAGACCAAACGAAAACAACCAGGTCCATTTGTTTGCTATGTCTCCGAAAATATGTTCAACGTCCAACGACTCAGAGAGCTAAGGGGAAACCATGGGAGCCACCCCTGGTTCGCTGGAAAATACGCCTCGAAGCTCAGCTCCTTCCACTTGCGACCCTCCTGGCATCAACAAGGTGAAGCCGCGGGTTTCACTAAAACAAGCATCGCAGACACGGTCACGCGCTGCTTTCGACGGACATGGTGACACGCTTATTGAATGTTGAGGACCAATTTGAGACCCTGGAGGTCACCTGACATTGGCATGGAACCTGGGGACCAAAAGCGAGTACAGCGGGAACCATATATGTCGTTGCCGGGTATGCTCTGCAAACACCTTCACATTCTATATGATCCAAACTATATTATGTAACACTTGATGTGCATTAGTATTATATATATATGTATACACACTATACCTATTGACTGATCAGCAAGCATTCACATTCTTGGCTATCAAACTCTCGGACTCGTTCAGGCATGTTGTGGTCTCGGTACCTCTGGCAAGTATGCCTTGACACAGCAACGCAACCTGTCAAAACACATCACATGATTCCTGTTTCAAGTATGGATGGTAAGCTTGGTTGACCAAACAAACATTGTAACATGGACTAGTGAATACTCATGGCGGTATAAGTTGCCCCTGATTCCATGGAATCCCTCGTGGAATCTTACCTCAGGCCCGGAGCCTATCTGGGCTGAGACCCCAAAGCGTTCAGCTGTTGGGGAAAAATATGGCTTCAACATTAGTGTTTATAGACAATCTCCTGGTGCTTCTTGACAATGAAATCGGCCGGGGTATGCGTGTTCAAATAAACATGTTTGCAATGATGCTATGCCATGCTGCAGAGAGCAGGAGGAAGCTTCTGGGCTCAGGTTGCCAGGATGAACTGCGTGCACAGGCGAACCAACCAATGCAGAGGTTGCGCAAGATTTCCACAAGGTTTTCACAACCAGTTCCGCAACGGCTATGGGTAAGGTTCCACCGAGCACAAAAAAGAGCACCGCGTGCTGTTGGGGATATCACCTGAGCTTATTTTGTAGGGGGTCGGGCCCCTCCAAAAGTGGTCTGATTCCCCACACTTCACCCAGGACACCCCCTTTTTCACAAACTAGGTTGATTAATATAGGGTCAACGCGCTGCAGTGGCCATATGAAACACAGGGCATCTTTTTTTGGTGTTTCCGCCACATTGCTGAAGACCCCACCCCCCCAATTGGAGTGAGTGGAGCCCGCATCCCGGCCTAAACCAAAAATCAGGCAGTCCCACTAAGGGGAAGGGCAAAGCACGGTATCGGTAAAACTGCGTTTTAGTGAGCGTACGTGAGCGTCAAGGATTCTTTGTTTGGTGCTTGACTTTAAAGGGAAACCCTTCCCAAAAAAAGGAAAAAAGGGCACCACTGGGCAACTGGGTTTCAACGAGTGAATCGCACCTTGGAAATTGCCTAGACCCTGCTCCTCCCACCGCTCCTTGAAGGGAATGTCTCTCCAGGCGCTCTCTCCCTTGGGGCAGCCTGCACAAGCGGGGCCGGGCCAAGGCCGTAAAACCTTTGGTTGATGTGGGTGTGTCTTCCACCCCAAATGGGTGGTTTTCCGAATGGTTTCCCAACCACCAAAGAGGCAAAGGTATCCTCAACAACTTTACCTCGAACAAGCCACGCCTAAGATATTTGCTTGGCGAAGCTAGACATGCAACCACGCAAGCGCCAGAAGGTCACTCCAAATCCGACTGCGGGGTCTCAAGCATGCTGCTGGCTGACGCGATAGCAAAGATTTTGCCGAATGGAGGCTCGGCAGTGTTGACCCCGAATCAATAACCTGTCTGGCGGGGGGAAAAAGGTCAAACGCCTGAACTGCGTTTGAGGATGCACAGTCGCGGCGGTCGAAGCTGACACCAGCTCACAGTGGCGCATCTTGCGAGCCTTGCTGATGACCATTGCGTGCTGACCAAAGCGTCCGGACATGGCCCAAACAAAAACACGGGCGGGGTGACAGGAATCAAAGAGGGCGATGGCCGCGAAGGATGGCAAGCGGGACCCGGGGATGGCCGCGAAAGCTGCTCCGGCACCTACAATGGGTCCGGAACCTGTTTCGGCTGCGCCGCTGGTTGGAAGATCAACACACCTCATGCGCAACTGGAAAGCTATCGGAAGTACAGCTCAAATGTAGGCACCCCAAATCAAAGGATTCATGCATGTTGGTCAGATTCCCCAACCTGCAGCCAGTTCAGTGAGGCAGTACCAGGTTTCCTTGTGCGGCTAAATTTGCTGAAATAATGTTGAGCTATCAACATTTTGACAAAGCGTACACCAACATTGGAACATAAGATCGAACCTAGTGTTGGGGCCCACCCTGAGTAAACAATTTCAAACATGTATTCTGTATTCTCATGTATTCTTTACAGAAACCAATGCTGCGAGTGGCGGTCATTTTTTTTGGGGGGGGATCCTGCTACCACTCAGGGCATTGGCCTCTCATTCTGTATACAACCACCTGTTGGTTTCCCCATCAGGTTGTAATGTTGACCCCGGATTAATAAACCCCTGTTTATTAATGTGGGGGGTGTCCCACTAAAACCAGGGACATCCCCCATATTATGGCCCATATTAATAAACAGGGGTTTATCAATACCGACGTCAACATTGAGGGCCTTTTAGTAGGGGAACCCTCTCCCAAAAAAGGGTACAAGGGCACTACTGCACGACCTTTCCCCATGGGTTGCAAGGGCCCGGCACTTCGGGGCCGGAACCGAAGCGACGCAAGCGACACGACTCTGCACGGATGCTGGCCGCGCCATGGAGCAGGCACTGGTCCCAGCCCGTGTAGTAGTACAGCCTAGCGCACCGCTTCGTGTGGCCGATGCGTGGGCGTGTCTTTTCCGGGCGTACCGTTTTTGGGGTTGATGCAAAGGGAAACACCATTGATGCACCCAGGTTGCGGGTCCGTTTTGAGACCAGATGAAAGAGCCCTCGAAATAAGATGTGGAAAGGGGCCAAGAAATGCGGGTCTCTCGTGAGTGAAGAAAAAGTCCATGAGGCGAACATGAAGCCAAATGGCTAATCATGCTTTCTTGTTGGATTGGTCGCCTGGTTGCTTGGTTGCTTGCTTGGTTGCCTGGTCGGTTGCTTGCTTGCTTTGCAATGGAATTCCTTAGCTTGGGTCGGTGTGTTTTTGAGGGTACCCTTAGGCTGTCTTTTGCTCGGGAAAGCAAAAGTAAGCTGACACATACCCACTACCACTGACTTTTGTGTGTGTGTGGCTGCACCAACGATTCTATCGCTAACTGAGCCTCCCATTCTTCTTTGTAAAAGCCGGTCAGCCGCATGTTGTTCTTCTTCACAAAACAATATGGCCATGATGTACCACGGAAAGGATTCAAATGATGCTGCCCTGGCTATTTCATGTCTGACGTCTGGGTGAAATTGGCTGATGACCGCATAGAGGTTTCAACGGATAAGAGCCCATTAATAGATGAATTGGCAGACCTACGAATTTCAATGTAGCGGAGCTTGTCTCACTGCGTTCTTGGTAAAGGTCCTGCAATCGATTGTGGATGTTCTTGTTTCGGGGGATCCGTGCCTTGTTCCACCTATCGTGCAGCAACAAAACTGAGCTAATGGTTGAACTGCATAGACTTGGTCCATCTTGCTCCACAGAAGGTCCGGAAAAAAAAAAGAGGAACCTGCGGGCGGCCTGACGAGGTGCTAATTCCTGATGCTTGGAGGCTAATTACATCATCCCCGACCAGGAAAGACGGTTCAAGAGCATATCATAAAAAAGCACAGGGCGCTTGTCAGGGCTAGACGCGAGAAATCCAATGTTGATATGTCATCATCCGACACATGGGGGTGTATCTCTTTTTAGACTCCCCAAATGGAGGTTCTTCGCTTGGCTTCCCAAACAAAACAACCAAAACGGGGTACCAACTCCGAAAAGGGCCGCACCCGCATCCAACTTTTCAAGTTCCCTCGCCCTGAAGCAGGCCGGGAGTACGTCACGGGCATGCTGAAGCGAGTCCACCAAAACTTGGCCAAGGATGGGTGCAGCAACGTTTGCTATGTATGAACTGCTGTTGACAAAGGGGGTTTGGCTGCAGAAAGCTCGGCTTATCCAGTGTCTGATTCAAGCAGCTTTCCATTGACAGCTTGTCCGCAAACTTTGATGGCTGAAAGACTGCACAACTATGAGCTGTTGCACATGTCATGTGTATGTTTATGTACTCACACTAGCATTGAGTGATACCTTGAGCAAAGCAAGCTGCGTGCACATTGCCAGGCAGGAGGCACAGCAAGTGCAGGAGTGCTTGTCGAGTTGATCAACGGTTCAGAATCTGGCTTACTTTAAGTTTAACAGCTTTGCTCGAAGGATATGTTTCAAACAAACATACAATAGGGGGTGATATTGTCGGTTCATATCTCCTCCACACGGAAGTCGATGCTGGAAACATGGGACTTCGATAATGACTTGAAAACGAGTGATTGCTACAGCGCGTAAACTGGGTTGCCCCTCTTTCTGGAACAATAAGTTGCCACGTTCTGCTGACACATGTGACATCGGTTGCGCATATAGAGTCCGATCAGTGTCCCTGATGCTGGGTAGTACAAAGTGAACTCAGATACGAGTCAACTCAATTATCCGTTTGCAAACAAACCCCGCCAGTCAAAACAATACAAGTGTGCTCGGCTTTTGGAAACCCAATTCAAAGTAATCGTTGTATCTGTGTCTGTCAAAAATACCTCCACAACGTAGTCGCACATCCTGCGGTGATATCATTGACCTCACCCTCATGGTTGCCGTCCGCTTGTCTACCGATAAGGCCATTAAACATGTATGCAAATAACTAACGCACTACTGCACTCCTAAATCCGTTCTTCAATTTGGTTTAGACATATCTCAGAAAGGCTACTATGTCTTAATGCTTAGAATAGAGTTGTGCGGAGCTGTAAAACACACGACACTCATGCTCGTGAAATAATAATGTGTTCAACCAACTATTTAGCCTATTATAGCACAGGAACATCCAAACAAGTTGCCCAGCAACCATGGCCCCAAAGCTTGCCAAAGGACACCGGATTCTGACTGATGTCCAATGTATGTTTATACCCAAACATGTTCCTCCAATGACGATATCATGAATCACCATTTACTCTGCCCCACGCCCCAAACACCCCGCCCCCTCAAAGACCCCAAAAAAGCACAAAAGCAACATGTGTTCGGCGTGCTGGAGTGGCAGCATTCGAAATAGGGGTTGGAGGTCCGGGGCTTGAGTTGGCTCTACATGGGCGTTGGTTTCAAGTTGGTATATATATATATATGGTCCCGTGTTCCGTGTTGCTACCCCCCCCCCCCCCATATGGTATGGTCCCCCAGGGCCCCCCCCGGCCCGAGACCCCGAGCCCCCGGATCCTGGCACCTACGGTCCCACCCCCACCCCGACCCCCTGAACTCGCACCCAGAAACCTCGGCACCCCCACCCGCAGGACAAGCCAACCCGCAACCAACCATAAACCAACCCTAAACTATCCCTAAACCAACCCTAAACTAACCCCAAATACACCCTAAACCAATCCCTATAACAATAAACCCTAAACCTAAACCAACCCTAAATACACCCTAAACCAAATCCTAAACCGTACACCTCTAAACCTAAACCAACCCTAAACCATCCCTAAATCAACATAAATCAACCTAAATTAAGCCTGAACCAACCCTAAACTAACCCTAAATACATCCTAAATATACCCTAAACCAATTCTAAACCAACCCTAAACCACCACAACCCAACCACAGGACCACAACCACAGGGGGGGGGGGTACTTGTCTGACCCATGACCATTGGGGGGGGAGGGGGGGGGGGGCTGGCAACGCTGTACCATATATATATATATATATATGTATACATACATACATACATACATACATACATACATACATACATACATACATACATACATACATACATACATACATTACATTACATACATACATACATACATACATACATACATACATACATACATACATACATACATACATACATACATACATACATACATACATACATACATACATACATACATACATACATACATACATACATACATACATACATACATACATACATACATACATACATACATACATACATACATACATACATACATACATACATACATACATACATACATACATACATACATACATACATACATACATACATACATACATACATACATACATTACATACATACATACATACATACATACATACATACATACATACATACATACATACATACATACATACATACATACATACATACATACATACATACATACATACATACATACATACATACATACATACATACATACATACATACATACATACATACATACATACATACATACATACATACATACATACATACATACATACATACATACATACATACATACATACATACATACATACATACATACATACATACATACATACATACATACATACATACATACATACATACATACATACATACATACATACATACATACATACATACATACATACATACATACATACATACATACATACATACATACATACATACATACATACATACATACATACATACATACATACATACATACATACATACATACATACATACATACATACATACATACATACATTACATACATACATACATACATACATACATACATACATACATACATACATACATACATACATACATACATACATACATACATACATACATACATACATACATACATACATACATACATACATACATACATACATACATACATACATACATACATACATACATACATACATACATACATACATACATACATACATACATACATACATACATACATACATACATACATACATACATACATACATACATACATACATACATACATACATACATACATACATACATACATACATACATACATACATACATACATACATACATACATACATACATACATACATACATACATACATACATACATACATACATACATACATACATACATACATACATACATACATACATACATACATACATACATACATACATACATACATACATACATACATACATACATACATACATACATACATACATACATACATACATACATACATTACATATTTGGATCTGTTTCGTTTTGAGGGTACCCGCTTTGGGGGGCTTTGAACGGAAAGCAAAAGGAAAACAACCAATTTGGAGCGGTCCAACTGGGTCCTCCAATAGAGAGGTTAGAATAAGGGTACCCTTTGTTCTGTAGTTAATTTTTATTAGGGGAACCCTCCCCCAATTTTGGTAAAAGGGCACTACTGGGGGACCTAGTTAAAACAGAACCCATACTTTTTAACCACAAGCCCCGCGTTGAGGATGGCCGTGTCAGACTCGGGGGCACCTGCGCTGACGCTCGCGGAGCTCAAAACCCCCGGAGTCACCGCCCCCGGCACCAGGTAGGAGCCTGCCGGGCGGATCTGACCCCCGCGGAGGAAGAGAGGGGGGGGGGGCTTTTTTGGGGGGGAGGGGGGGGGATTGTTTATTTTTGGGGAATTTTTTGGGGGGAAGATTCTTTTCTTTTGGGAGATATTTTCTCGGGGGAGGCTTGAGCATGGAGATGGCTGGACCTCCCTTTTGTCGGTGTTGGGGATTTTGGGACTCTTTTTGCGGCATTACAGAGCAAAACGCGTACCCCTGGTATGGGTACGTGCCCCAAATGGTTTCCCCTTGTATGAGGCTTATTGAGTGTGCATGTTTAGTGGGGAGTTGGTTGGAACATGGTGGAAAATCAAGCGATATTTTGTTGGGGGTGAGGTGGAGCATTGTTTGAGGGGAGCCAGCACTTGATGAAGCATCCATATTCCTGCCGTTGACAATCAACACATTCTTGAACTGCAATTTCGGCAGAGAACAGAACGCACGGCGATTCAAAACATATGAGCCACTGTCAAGATGACGAGGGTTTCTCTAAAAAGACATGGGCAAATTCGGGCTCGTTGGCTTTCTGTGGGACATGTTCCCTAAGTTCCACCTTCCTATCAAGAACCTCCAAGTTTCGGTCCAAGCCTTCAAGGGGGCCACGTGGGGCCACCATGTTTGAGAAGGGACGTTTCATGGTTTCCCTTTGACCTTCCCTTTCAACCCACCAAAACGTGGGGAAACCCCTCAGAAGGGTGTGTCCGTTTTGTTGGGGCGTTGGTTCAAAGGAAACAAAAAGGACAACCACTCGCTTGCTTTCTGCTCCCCTGCCAAAAGTGACTAACTTTTAGTGGTTTAATTCGGAAAACCCATTAGTTGGCAAAAAAAGCTGAAGTCCTAACATCCCTCGGCAAAATGCACCAAAGACTGCACCTGGCTGCTTGGCAACCCTGCTAGCGCCTCTTTGGGTGCCCCTGGCTGCTAGGAAACCAAAAGGACAACCGCTGCGCTGGGGGTCCTTTATGGTAGCCCCTTATGGTAGCCCCTTTAAAGCCAGCACAAGGCACCCTCCAACCAGGGTCCCGCCTGCCCAGTCCAGGCCGCCTTGGGCGGCAGCTGTACCTTCAATCCAGAGCTGGGGTCCTTTTCTTCGACGGCTGTGTGCCTCCTGTTTGGTAGTTAAGGGAAACCAAACGGAAACCACCCATTTTCATCTTTTTTGTTTGCTTTTTGGGGGGGGGGGTGTTGTGGGGTCCCCTGGAGGACACCTCTTTTTTGATTGAAGGAGGTTTCCCTTTTTGCTTGAGGGGTCCAAGAGAAACGTTTCTGTTCTCGCCTGGCCCCGGGTCTGGGGTCAACAACTCGGATTAAGACACCGCTGAATTTGTGGCGGATTCATCATCTTTGGCGGGGGAACAGCCCCGTCACAGGAAAAGGCTGTATTGATCCGGGGTCAACATGTTTGGCCAAAGGTAAACCTGTAGCAAAGGGATGTCGGCAACCGTTTGGCAGCGATTCTTCGGGCG